CATTACGTGACGTTATATTCCGCGACGTCACATTACGTTACGTTATATTCCGGGACGTTCCATTACGTAGTGTTATGTTCCGCGACGTCACATTACGTGACGTTATATTCCGCGACGTTCCATTACGTGACGTTATATTCCGTGACGAAACATTACGTTACGTGACGTAACTTTTTAATTATTTAGAAATATGTTTTGTTTTGTTTCAGCCAAGCTGACCACATTTTGAAGGCAAGAGAGATGCTTTGGAACACTTTTCAGTATTACATAAATAGGGACATGAAAACATTAGATTATGAAGAAAACACTAGAATATCTAGGTTCAAAGTTAGACTTCTAAAAGCTATAGGCAGGGTTTTAGTTGAGGGCCATAGAGAATATGTACAAGGGAAGAAGATTGAGGAATTTGTTGATAGATGAATATAGTTGTTGTTAAAAATATGATGATTGTTTTTATTGTACGTTTTAGTTTTGTGTCACAATAATCAATTTAACGTTACCATCTAATATCTCATACTAAAAATAGCATTATCACTACCATAAATCAAATCATAGGCTTGTTATTATATTAGCGTTTTGTAATTACAAAATAATAAATAAGTAAATTTACAGTAGATAATACGAGGTAGTTAGGAATTAAGATACAATTCTAGAAGTAAATAGGATCTATGAAACTTATTTGCACGATGATATTTTACAAAGAACAAATATAAACCGAGGGCGTGTTGGTGATAGATAAGATAAGGAACACTTAAGGAACATAGGTCGAAACATAAAACAAGTGAAAACAAAATGTAAATTTTGAAAATACCCACGACAAGCGAGTTGTTCGCGTAACACCCAGCTAAGAACATTCCCAAGTCAAACCTTCATCTATCACTGAAAACCGCATCAAAATCAGACCACGGGTTTTGGAGATAATTGGTGACTTTGATTTGTATAAACAAATGTTTACTGCAGCGCCCCCTGTCGAGTTTTTCGCGTAATACCTATCTAAGAACATGCACCATAAAGATCTCAATCACTGAAAACCGCATCAAAATTGGACTAGTGGTTTGGGAGATATTTGGGAACATAGGTTTGCACAAACACACAAACGCACATTCTCTCACCCCAAACGCATTTATACCGTCGTCTCCGATTCGTCGTGATTAATAATTTTTACAAATTGGCATAATAAGGTAGCAAATTGGGTGATTTAATGGCGCCACTTACGACTGTGCCTTTTTTCTGTGATTAGTCGAAAATGTGTCAAAGTTCAGTTCTCTTATTGCTAAAAGTGGCCACTTTTAGCAATTTCGGCATACATAACTAAAGCACACAGTTTTCCCAAGGTTTTACTAATTATAAAAATTGTTCGTTGTTAGTTATTGTCGTTAATTCATAATGTGGTTTCCCAATCACTTGCGTATCGCTAACGTTGAGCCATAAGACGGAATCGTCTTATCTTCATACATCTGACAGTTACCCAACTATTTAAAAATGCAACTCTAGCTGTCAAAATCCATACCTAGTTTGAAGTTTATATTGCAAATAAACGGATTATACGCCTGTTCCACCTATCCCTACTGGCCTATCCCCCCTAGTAGGGAAGAGCTAAATTTTTTTCCTTTCTTTTCTACTAGGGGGGATACGCCTTCCACATAGTTCCACCATAATAAGGTATAGTCAGAGAGAAAAGTATTCAGTTAAAAGAATTAAGTATAGAACTAATTTATTGGGCAAAAATCAAGCCTCCGTCTAGGCTCTTATCACACAAGCGGTTTAAGAGCAGATGCGGAGGGGAGGCGGAAGCGCAGAAAAGTTGCGGACGCACCGCAGACTTACACCGTTTTGTTTTGGTAAATATCGCCGACATCCGCTGCGCTTCCGCAACATATTCGCTGCGCATCCTCCTCCGTTCCGTATCCGCTACCCCAATAGCGCTTGTGTACAAAAGCCTAAGGTACAGCCAAGGTCCAGACAAGATCTACTAAATGACAGCTGTCAAACTTAAACCTGGTTTTTCTCGGTAAACATTATAGATTAAAAGTTTCTTGGAAATAGACGAGATGATAATTTCGGATGACATCTGTCAAACTTTAAACGTGTTTTTATCAGAAACTATGCTTGCCAGACATTTTGTTTTTTAGAGGAAGTTGTTGGTCTTGACGAGATCTTCATTTGGTATGACAGCTGTCAACTTATAAACTCGTTTTTCTGGGAAACTATGCATGCTAGGCTACTAGATTCTTTGACAAGTTGTAAGCCTAGACAAGATCTATTAAATGCCAGCTGTCAATGAACTGAACAATGCTTTTTTTCTAGTTGTCTGTCTGGCAAGCATAGTTTCCGAGAAAAATACGTTTAAAGTTTGACAGCTGTCACCTGAAATGTAGATTTGTTCAAGACCAACAACTTCCCTTAAACCAGTTGTCTGGCAAGCATAGTTTCCGAGAAAAACGCGTTTAAAGTTTGACAGCTGTCACCTGAAATGTAGATTTGTTCAAGACCAACAACTTCCCCTAAGAAACTAGTTGTCTGGCAAGCATAATTTTCGAGAAAAACGCATTTAAAGTTTGACAACTGTCACCTGAAATGTAGTTTGTTCAAGACCAATAACTTCCCCTAAGAAACTAGTTGTCTGGCATGCATAGTTTCTGTTTCTGATAAAAACACGTTTAAAGTTTGACAGATGTCATTCGAAATGATCATCTCGTCTATTTCCAAGAAACTTTTAATCTATAATGTTTACCGAGAAAAACCAGGTTTAAGTTTGACAGCTGTCATTTCGTAGATCTTGTCTGGACCTTGGCTGTACCTTAGGCTTTTGTACACAAGCGGTATTGGGGTAGCGGATACGGAACGGAGGTGGATGCGCAGCGAATATGTTGCGGACGCGCAGCGGATGTCGGCGATATTTACCAAAACGGTGTAAGTCTGCGGTGCGTCCGCAACAAATTTGCTGCGCTTCCGCCTCCCCTCCGCATCTGCTCTTAAACCGCTTGTGTGATAAGAGCCTAGACGGAGGCTTGATTTTTGCCCAATAAATTAGTTCTATAATTCTTTTAACTGAATACTTTTCTCTCTGACTATACCTTATTATGGTGGAACTATGTGGAAGGCGTATCCCCCCTAGTAGAAAAGAAAGGAAAAAATTTCCGCTCTTCCCTACTAGGGGGGATAGGCCAGTAGGGATAGGTGGAACAGGGGGGATTATAAAATTTTTGGCTTCATTTCTTATGCCAGTGCCTTTGGATAGTACTCTATCTACCGAGAGTAGCGACGCAATCATTTATCTAAATAAAATTATTTGTAGTAGTTCCGTATCCCGAGCACCTTCTAAGCTTACAATATTTCACTTTTTCCCCTTGTCAGATTTCGGTGAATCTTTCTTCATTGATTTCTTAGACTCTTTTTTCTCTAGCTTTTTCGCCGACTCTTTTTGCTTCAGTTTTCTCGCGGACTCTTTTTTCTCCAGTTTCTTCAACCTCTTTTCTTCTATTTTTCTCAAATTTTCCAGGTATTTAGACCAATCGCGTGATTTTGATTTTGACTTTTTCCCACTGCTCTCCATTGATTGCGACTTCAGTTTCTCCGGTGAGGAGGATTTCTTTTGCTTTTTACCTTTTACAGGCGTCCATTTTTCCATAAACGTCGGCAGTGTAGGTTCATTCGGCATTACCGTTACACAGGCCTGAAAAAGATAATTCTGTTACACAGATGATGATTGGTGAATGATGATGTGATGACTAGGTATTATGTGATTCCTTGTGTGTGTAGTGTGTTTGTTTGTTTGTCCTTCCTTCACGTCACAACAGAGCGACATCATGCAGCTTTTTTGGGTGTGCGGTTATGTGAAAGGCAGGAGAGTGACATAGGCTACTTACTTTTTATCCTGGAAAAACATATTATTATTTTTCCCATTGGGAAATCAACAAATTGAAATATCAATTGATAAATTCTTATGAGTAAGCGGGCGAAGCGGCGGGTAACAGCTAGTTTTAAATAACAATGTCTACGTGCCTAGTGCCTACTCTTGGTCCTTTTCGACGTTAGTGAAATGGACTTTCTATGATCACCGGCAGTAATCTCTTCAGCGCGCGCGGTAATTTACAAACTATAGGCAAATTAAGACTAATCTGAACATTATGAAGTGAAAACTTCGAGAAGATAAAAAAATTAATAAATACATTACCAATGCGTCATTCCCCAAAATCTTCTGCTTTCTTTGTTCCTTCCTCTGTGCCGCTTTAATGCAAGTTACGGAAAGTACCAAAGTTAACGTGTATAACGCGGCCGTCGTCCAGCAGTGCCAAGCTGTCTGAAAAATAACGACACAGGCTTTTGTATTAAGTAGATAAGATTCCTATAGGTATATCTGCATTTTTCCCAAGTATGTAATGGATCTTGGCCTCCGAAACGAGCCTTCGCCACTGATCCCTGTACTGCACGATCTCCTGCAAGTTGTAGACTTGGAGATCGCGCAGGTCAGTGGCCACCACATCTCTCCAGCGCCACCAGTACCTGGGGTCGTACTGTGGTTCACTCAGCAGCATAACCTACCGTCATAGGTGCGGAGGAAGCTAAATATATTTCTATCATTTTCATGTAGGTTTAGTGTATGAACTCTGGCTTTAGGTTTAAGATCTAACCTAGTATATCGTGGTATCTGATGAGATAGCCATTTATGCGCTCGGTTCTTCCTCTAAATGTTACCAAATGTATTTTTATTTATGTATGACACAAAACGTCTCCTACTTTGATAAATTCTGACTGTTTTGCAAGTATGTATAGTGCTTGAGTGATAGCGGCTAGCGGGATGGTGGAGAAACTTACTTCATAGTAATTATGTCTCGTCTTATTAACAAAGTCACGAAACCCATCCGCTTCATGCGCCTCTACGTCTTCTATTAAAATTGGGGATTCTATGTAGTAGAAGCAGCCCATGAGTGACTACAAAAGAGGAATAGAAATAAATATTTTATTAAGATTAAGAAACATTGGTAAGGTCTACCGGTGCATCGATAGCTCAGTGGCAGAGCAGTGGGTAGGTACGCGACCGGTCCCGGGCTCGATTTCCGGTCGAAGCTTGACATCAAATATATGGAGCGTCTCAAAGTGTAGTTAGGAAATGATACGACTTATTTGGTGGTCAAACTATAACTGGATATAGGTATTCTGATAATTGCATATCTAGAGCTCGAACGCTCGATTGCATAATTAGTAGGTACTAAATTACTGCTAAGACAAGCAAGCAATACGCTTTAGTGTCTATGCGGGCCGCATAATGCGGCCGCTACATTTCAATTTCTTTCAACCATAACAGTCCACTGCTGGACATAGAAGTCTATGTCCCCCCCTATGTGGGGGTATTGCCTTGCCATACTCACCAAGTCACATTCCCTGTATAATATCCCCTGTCGCTTTTTACAGCACCCACGTGTAGAATTTGGGTGCCTATTCTAAGCCGGCATCACACGACAAACATAATTATTTTACACAAAAAGGCTTGTTTTTATTTTTCACTCCATGTTACAACAGTAAAATAGTGAAAATATTTATTTATCATTATCTTATCAGCAATTTCTTAATGGCTTTGATCCTAACAGGACACAATCTAATTTTGTACCTACCGTTTGTAAAGTAATTGCTACCGTGGTTATAAGGCCGCCATAGTTAGAACAGTGTTCTGGAAAAATTGAAGTCTAAAAGGGTTTCAGCTTTCTTCTTTTGTCTTGTGGGGCATCGAGTCAACCAATGACCCGGTAAAGGCTATTCTTACTAGGTACCAAAGTGTCTAGGTATATTTCACTTATCCTGCCCTGACACTCGATATGGCATCATACCACCTTCATTGGGGCATTCCATGAAAATATTAATTCTTTCTTTTTCGTGTGGGACACCGAGTCGTTCAACGACCCGATGAACCATGGTGTCAGAGTTTTTCAACCGCCTACTGCAAGTAGCAGGCCTCTGACATGGTTGTGTAACTGTCGAAGTCAATATGTCAAAATCTGCCTTCTACATAATAGCTCGTGTGTTTACAAACGAAAAGCCGTTTGCATATTTCCATCTGACGTATGTATACCGTCGACATTATGTGTACCGCCAAAAAAACGACCTTTTGCCGTATGGCATAATGCCCGGCAATATGTACGAACTAGTACTGAATTCCGCCACGGTGGCGCTGTAATCGCAAAACAATAAATATGGCGTACAGTAAAGTAGTAATAGTGCAGGAGGTGTAAATGGAAATCTTGTAAATAAAATCACTATGTTACCAGTGACAATAAGAGATTAAGGAGAAGTTTAGTTCAGAACTTTTAAAAAGTATTATGGAACTCGTAAGGGATTGGTTTGAACCCCGTGGGCGAACCAGAAATTTTTCGAGGTCACTTAACACTTAAAAAGTGGTAGGACGTCCAGGGCCACGGAAATTCGGCGGACTAGGGACGAGTATTAGGTTCTGGTGCTCTCGCTATGTCGTAATGAACATTGCTGTGCAGGATTACTTAATTACAAAAAAGTACAATTATTATAGTCCGACAGTACGCACTTTGGAGGACTACTTCGATATACTAAATGAAATTACGAAAGTTGCGGGCACGGTGGACAGGTTTTTTTTGTATCTATTGTATCAATTGAAGGATCGATTTATGAATTAAAAATGAAAATCGCTAAGAAGTGCGTCGTCACTAAACCAATCATATCATCAGATTTGAATCAACGGTTAAGGGCAGGTTAATTATTCGAGTTAATAAGCTGAAGCGGCAAAGAGCAGGGCCACATTGCTCGAAGGACTGATAATCGGTGGAGCAGGGGAATTCTCGAGTGGAGATCACGTACCGGAAGGCGCAGCGTAGGATGGCCCACCGCGAGATGGACAGACGATCTGGTCAAGTCCGCGGGGAAATGCTGGAGGCATGCTTCTAATCGGACAAAGTGGAAATATTCAGGGAGGCCTATGTTCAGCAGTATAAGTCCTATGGCTGATATGATGATGATGATGGTGATGCATTATTCTCACACAGCCCTATTTCCTTAAGAACTTTTATTTAGCTAAAATATCAGATCACTCATCAACACAACGTAAATCATGATGTAAAAAAGTAAGGTTTAACTTACATAGATATTTACAATCATAGCACTTGCCACTTTAACAAGCTATGATTGTAAATATATCTATCAAACAGTTTAAATGTGACCGTCGAAGATACTCAAGTAAATAATATGTAAATGAATAAATATCGTTTTTTTTCTTAATCATGGTCACCCTATTATGATCACCACTTTGACGTTTAAGCAACGTTCATTTCAAAGTCATATTGCCGGATGTCGTGCCGACAATTTGTATACTGCTTTTCGTCTGTATACGAACGGGTCATTATGTAAGCGTCAGAATCTTACATATTGACTTCGACATAACGACCGCCTCCGCCATCATAGACAGCAACCGGTACCGACGGCTTAACGTGCTCGTCCGAAGCACGGAACCATCTTACTTGCGGACAATTAGGTGGTTCAGCCTGCAATGTCCTAATCAGACTAACAAATTCACAAAGTGATAAATATCAACTTTGTGAGTGACCCCACCGGGATTGAACCCGGAACCTTTGCGTGGCCGGCAGGCATACTAACCACTGCGCCACATCGGCTGTCAAAATTATTAATGTCGGGTACGTTACACCCTGCCTTCTAATATTTCCGTGTGAGACACGTTGATATTTTAAATACGGTATTAAAAGTACCTATAATAAAGCGCATTAGGTTCTACAACTCAAGCAAAGTTGGTGCTCCCATACACGTCACGTTACGTCACATACGCCACAAAGTTGACCTTTTCGTGGAATGAATGCCCTGCTGGTTATTTTACTTGAGTGTTTAAAACTGTAGACACGTAATCTAATCTCGCATGATTGATAACATGATAACCAACAATGTAGGTGGATATTGAAATAGCCATTCAAACCTTGACTGGCCCTGAGCTGACTCTATGCCACGGAAGCCTCATACAGCTTGCGGTAAGATTCCCTCTAAAGTGAAAACTGAAGTAGGTGCCGAGGTAAAATATTTTTAGTGATTATTACCAATTGTATCATCGCCCAAATACTCAAACACGTGCAACATGTGCCGCAGTACATTAAGAACCCCATTACGGGATTAAAAAGATAGTGTCGCTTCGATTTTACAGAAAGATTATCTGAAAAATAAAGGAAAAATAGCTATTATTGTGACAGGACAACTTAAAGCAAAATTGTGACAGGAATGCAGTTTGACGTAGTAGTGTCGTAATCGTAAGACAAACAAAAGCATTAAAAACTTTTTAACTATCTTTCCTTTCTCTGCACTTTCTCTGATAAAAAACCGGCCAAGAGCGTATCGGACGCGTGAATACTTTAGAATTTAGGAAACTGGGGACACTTGATCCCTGTGGGAGACATGGTACTTTTAATTTCCAGAAAATCTACCAGAGCTATGTGTATTAATGCTAGCAAAACTTTTTGTCTACTATACGGTCAAACTTTTTTTCGCAGTCATATGTGTCAACTATTTCATGTTTCAAAATGACAGGTCTTTATATATTCATTAGCGGCGCAAGATCATTTTGGCGAATATTTGCAGGCTTTTATTTATTACAAAAAAGTTAAAATTAGCAAGAGAAACCGTTTCATTATTAGGGATATTTCATTAGCAGTGAGTTTTTATTAAAGAATAACGTTTATATAAAGTAAAAAATTTCTTTTGTTATTATTCCTGGCCACATACTACAAGGGAGACTTGGTACATTTTTTTAAAGGAGACTTGATCCTAGGATCAAGTGTCCCTTATGGGGAACAGTTAGTAAGAAAATTGTAATCAGGACTGATTGATTAAATTTCGTGTTTATTCAGGCTGTATGGACCATTTTTAAATAATATTTTAATCTGATAGCATTTTATCTTATCACTAATGTATTTTTCCTATGGGAGACATGATCCAAGACTGCTATAAAAGTTTTTTCGTTATATTATCGATTATAAACGGTTTTTCATTACATTAAGTGTACTTGTAAATTTTTAGACTACATTTGGGAGATAAAACAAAACTAAACTTGATAAAATAGTCATTTAATTTTACGTAATGTCCCACGTGTCCCTGACTATGGAACACATGATCCTCACCTATTTAATAAACAAAACCTAGTCTCCCATACTATGGGAGACTTGATCCGGGGCGGATCAAGTCATCCAACTAGGTGGATCATTTCTCCCTTATATACGGGACACATGGTGCAAACCTGTTTTACCAGTTTTCTTTAAATAACTTTTATAACTATGGTATAATCCTAACTACACATACACAAATGGTAGTTGATTAAATTATGCATCGTTTAGTGTAAATACGGTTTAAATATGTTAAAAAATGTATTCATGAGATCACAAAATCAAAGTGGGGGATCAAGTGTCCCCAGTCTCCCCTACAGTTGGAACAAATTATGGTTGAAAAATAGTGACTTTGTTTCAAAAAAATCTACCCTTATTCTTAGTTTTAGAAGACCTATTCCACAATACCCTAGGTACACAATATTATACAGGCAATTAGGTACTTTTTTGCCCCCCTTTCACATTTATGGGTGGGGGTCCATAAATATTTAGGTAGGTAAGTAGGTAGGTACTTGATTAATTTTTTTCTACTTTTATTTTTTTCTTTGGGTCAACACGATCTATCTTTAGGTACACCAAATAGGTACGTAGATCAGTCCAACACTGACGAAGTTATGAGGGCGCGGCATACAGACAGACAAACAGCCTTACGAAATGATTCTTTCTAGTATGGTTTCTAGCAAGGAATTTGTAGGTTTTGGCTGCTCGCCCACGTCCGATAATCGGTGACCGATTTTTTGTAGGAGAAAAATGGAACGTATTGATTGCAATGGTGTAACGCCCACATCCGACAAATAGTTGGTCAGAAATAAAATCGGTGCATCTCGACCGATCCGATTATCGGTGAAAAATTGAACACTCGGAAATGTATGCGTAAACGCACACTACTCACCGACAGTCGGCCGCATGCACTTGCTAGGGAAGGGCGTGTTGTAACGTTCGTCAGC